CTGGAGTAAAAAAATTCATGATGCATATTAATTTATTTATGTAATCTGAAATTTACGCTTTCTATATAATTTCATAATATATTATCTAAGAAGAATATTTATTAAGTAAGTTATAAAGTCTAGATTTTAGGAGACGATGTTTTATTATTGATTTCATGGACTTATCTATATATACAAAAATAATATTGCATAAAAATATATTAATTATATTTTAAGGAAAACATTTTTTAAAAGAAAGATATAAAATTGATAAAGTCGTATTTGATAACATAATAAAATAAAATCATAATATGAGTAAATCTATTATTTTAAAATTTTATCGAGAACATGTGCGTGCAGTATTCGATCATTTGTATACATATTCTTTTCCTAGTCTACGTGATCTTTCTCTCGAGCTACATCGAAGCAGGTGGGATAGACGACATAGAAAAACACCGGTCGGGCGTCAATACCCTCTAACTAAGGTGGGTTATAAAAGGTCTATGCGGATCTTCACGGAACTTTTCTCGAGAAGGAATTCACAGTCGACCGTCTGCAAGGACATTCAGGGATGCTCCCAAAAGTCACGCTCTCGACTTTGTGATACATGGAAGAATAACATAAAGAGCTCCGGAGATCTATTCCATATTTTCTGAATCCGAAAAATCATATTTAAATTGGTATACTTATTGTATTCAAATTTTCTCTCTCTCTCTCTCTCTCTCTCTCCTATAATGCATATATTAACAAAACTACATTAGTTCATATTAAGATAACGAAGCTTATCTCTATTGAATTGATTCGAGTTCTCGAATTGACCGGCATATAAAATGAGATTTATATCGCGTCGCCCGGAGGCACTTCGGTACTCATTACAGAGTGTGTCACGTGTCATTGCGAGATAAGTCGCGGTATTTAAACTGAATTGACCGGCGTTCGCGTGCACGATAGTATTTTATGCCTAAGGTTGACATTTGTTCCAACTGATCGGAGTGACAAATTGCACGAGGTCGGAGTAGATGGAAGTCGGTCGAGAGTCACGCGTTGCGCAAGTTATTTATCGCTGGCGCGAAATGTTTTCGTTCGAGAAGTTCACGAATGGCATTTGTTGTTACCGACAGTTATCATCTTATACAATTGCGAAGATAATTAGAAACGATAGAAGAACGTCAGGATAGAACGTGCGAAGATCTTACGTAAGTTATTTATGCACCTGCATCCAATCGATGAATTTTTTGCTATTATAGAACCCGAAGCAACGTGATAAATATAATACGGCAATTACTCTAATTGAGATTAGAGAGCACTATGCTCCGTTCTCTTAGAAATAATCGTAGCAATTATGCGAATACACTTTTTTCACTATTTTTCTTCTATTTTAATCAATTTAATTCACTTCAATTTAAGTCGAAGAGATTTCTTTGCATATATATATGTTAACATTGATAATATTATCGTGTGCTAAATTAGCAAAAATAATATGCATTAGATGCATAAGACAACTTATTTATATCATTGAATTTAAAGATGATCAATGTTTTTAATATTTAAGTAATTATTATTTGTTTTTAGTTCAATAAATCTGAAACATAAATAGTAATAATAAATTTATAAATAGTAATATATATAAATAATTATCTTCGAGAACTGATAACTCGAGTCAGTGACCTGAGAGTGTGACATCGAAATTCAATACTGATCACATTGGTGAGTCCAATGATATAATCAGGTCTTCAGCATTAATTTCGATGGCACCAAAGTTAATCTCGACTAACTTTTTCGTGAAGGGAAATCATATTACAATATTACGCGTATAGTTTTCGGGTATATTTTAATGTGATTGATAGTGTATTCTAATGGTATTCTCTTTTCGTATTTCCAAAACAAGCAGGCGCGTCTCGTATAGGAATTAATGCTTTTCTCTGTTTTAAAAGTAGGCACGTCCCTAGAAGAACTGGAATATATTTTTCGAGCGGGTCGCGCGCGGGTCCCCGCTGAGCGGATTCCGTGGGGCTGAACCAGCACATACATATGTACGAATAACTATGTATAAGACAACATCCCAAAAGTGGCATACGTCCTCGCCGTGACGTGGCGAATTAGGAGACGTCATCGTTATAATAAACGCTGCGTACACTGCGATCGCCGCACTTTCGATCGAAATAAGGAAGTTGATTAGAGATACGATACGCGCCTTTAATTATATTACTAAGAATCGAACGTCATTAATCGATAAATTAGGAATGTTGTACGATTTTGATTAGAATAGATATATCTAAATGATAAAATTAAGCAGTTGTATAAAATAAGAAAAAAGACAGATACGTTATTATTTTACATATGTGTTATTCATAAAACGTAAATGCTATTAATAAAATTAATTAATGTACACTGATACAGTTAAAACATTTTCCTGCGTTATCTTGCGCATTCTTTTCGCACACGCGATATTTCTTCCGCTCTACTTTAATGTATTCGATCAAGGTGTAATTCTCCAAAGATTCGGTTGAAACGATCGTGCAAAATGCATTGCTCAAATCAACCCGACGAATCGGCTTTTGACGTCGATCAGCTGGAAAGCGTGTTGGGGAGGGGGAGGGAGGGGGGGGAGAAGAAAAGTCTCTCGCGATAGAGAAGCAGGCCAACGAAGAAACTTGAAAGACACCTAATGGTGCGCGCTAGCAGATGTCACATGCTCGCCAGTCGATGTTTTCCAAACAGGCGTCCGCCGCCAACGCAGCTTCTTATCCCAGCGTTCAACTCTCCAGTGGATACTAACGATCCTGCGAACGTTAGGCCATGGAGGTCCCGCAGGGGCCCTGAGGAAGAAATTCCAGACTCGTATGCTCCTCGCAGGCCCCGCGTGAACTTTCATTTTCAAAAGTGGCGGAGAAAGAGAGAGAGAGGAGAAAGAGAGGCAGAGAGAGATATCCCAGTCGGGTATCTACAAACGGTCAGATATACGTTTGAGAGCTTGACTAGAGGTACTCTCAGAAGAAATTCTTCCCAGTAATCATCTATTAAGAATCAGGCTTGAGGTCATCGAAAAAATGATAATTTTTTGTAGCCTTAAAGATCAACAGTCTCACTTAATACAAGATACGACACAAAGTGGCTATTCTTATTATACAGTAATAATAATTATATAATAAAAATTGTATGATTATTTCTATTGTAAGTGTGTATTCTTATTATATAATAATAATTATGCAATAAAAATTGCATAATTATGTTGTGTATGTTATGTTATCCTATAACTGTTGTTCTATTATATGCATAATAAAAATAATAATTTAATAATGTAACATGTTTCTATATATCTTCACATATACAAAAATTTTTCGTATATTACAAGTTATGCATCAACAGTTTATTTATTAATATATTTTAAAATATTGCATATAATAAATTAATATTCTCTAATTTTTGTAAAGTCATGTGTAAATTATAATTTTTTGGAGTTCACGCTTTTAGATTTTTATTATTAGATTTGATTAACTCACAGACTTTCTGATGTACGACATTACGTTTGAATTGTTTATTTAAATTTATGAAGAAAAACATTGAAAAACTCTGACTATAAGAACTTTGTTTTCAAAGTATATATCGATGATTTACGATTTAACTTGTTTTGACAATAAAGCTAGGTTCGTCTTAAGAAATACCACTGACGTGAGAAATATTAGCAAACTTAGTTAATTTAAATTTAATAACACATGATATATGTGATAGATTTATTCAGCTGTAATGTATATTGAAAAACTTCGAGCATATAGAATAAATTAATAGAAATTCAATTGAACTTATTTGTGTTATAAAGTTAGGCAATACATGTAACGAAAGTCTCGATCGGACGGTTAAAAGTGTTTCTTGTAACTCTAGATATATGAAAATATAGAGTACATTATCTAATCTATTTGGACTATGAAAGACACATTACATATGCGGAATATATCTATACATGATACTTTACTTCTTTACGCACTTATCATGTAAAGTACATGGCATATAATAACAATACCTATTCGTTCAACACTAAATAAACAAATAAAATATAGTCTTGAAAAAGAAAAATATTTTATAATTATATAATTATATATAGATTTATGTTAATAAAATGATGGTAGTAGATTTTTTTCAATAAGGTATATAGGTATTATATAAACTTGATGATTTTATGTCACATTTTATATGAATGTCATTTTATGTAGTCCAAGCAACGTGACATTTTTGACATTTTTTGTGATGGTAACTCATTACAAAAAAATTAAATGCCTAAACATTTTTGTAAAAACGGGCATATTTTTTTTCTAGTTTCAAGATTTTCAGTCTCATAATATCTTTACGAACCTTTCTAATGGAGATTCTGAGAAAAACTCATTTCTTTTGTGACATTTAAACACAGTTTATTTGTAAATTGTAAAAAATCGTTATTTCATCACGTAAAGCATTCAGAAAAAATTAAAACGTATTAGAGAAACATATTTAGAAATCCAATAACAGTCCCCTTATTTGCTTGTACAGTTATATGAGGAGTTTTCGATCGAACTAATGAATTTGTTAGAAAAAATCGAAATAATATTCGAAAACAATAAGTAGAATATTCTTACAGGAAAAAGATTATTACCAGCCATATATAACTCCAGACAATTTCACTAGTGTATTTCTAGCACTTTATTATTTAGAGAGGGATGATGAATCCATTCCAAACATAAGAGTATAAGTGCTGTTCTATTTGTTGGACAAGAAAATCACATTTGTCAAAAAAGAATATTTTTAGTGCCGAACGGCAAAAATAAATTTTTACGTTTTAATACCTATCCTATTTGCAATTAAAACGTGTTAGACATGTGTTAAAGATAGTGTCATGGAGCCGATTTTGCGGTCAGTGTCGTAGCGAAATCACATTGCGAGGGTAAAAACATTCCGCGCTCGTCGGCAATTTGGCGCGTAAACATGGCAGATGATATATTGACAGCGCGATTCCGCAAATTTCTAGCGTAAAATCGCGTCTCACTCACCTCAGCTTAACATTCATGTAGCCTGTGAGATAAATCCAAGGCGAAACGAACGTGATTGTTTCTTGGCAGAGACTCCGAAAGGAAATTCCAACGTTTACTTTCGAGGCGAGTCTTCTGAGTTAGCGACGTGTACACACTCACGCGCACCAGGCATTCGAATTTATCGTTGATTTAACGCGAAAACACACACTGTTCACCTTCCGACGAACGATCTCGCGAAGCAGCTCCAGAGGATGCATCGATTTGTATATCCTACCGATCGATTTCGTAACGCGAGGCAATTGACATCGTAGTTCACCAATCGTAGTTGTCAGGCACCTTGACGTGCAGATGAAAGCTGCAGACTTCTCTTGGCGGATACGCGCATATGAAATCGCGGCTGCACGAGGGATCGGTTTCATGTGCTCCAGATAAGCTACAGCTCTAACGTAAGCACACGTTATCACGAACGTGTCGACTCCGCATTTCGCGTCCTGAAGTCACTTCCACGAAGATGTCCAATAAACATTTGTTTGAGAGTTTAAGACTCACTCTTATCTGAGGTATCTCCACTATAGAAGCTTCAATGAATCCGAGGATAAGCACACGCGTTTTAATTCTGTTCAGGAATGATGTGTTTTCACCAATAATACGACGATCTGATCTCACTTCTACGGCGGATCCGTATCGGGAGCACTTTGTGGAAAGTCGGGGGATTCCCTCACGAATGAAAAGAATATAGATCACTCACTCGTTGGTATTGCGAAGAGAGAAGCTGGAGTTGACGCGGGAGATAGAGAAGAATTGACAGTGGTGGCCGAAGGAGAGCACACGGACGCGCGCGATCGTGGGCATGCGAAAGAGGAAGAGTCAGCTTTCACGAGAATTCCTGTCGATCCTTCGAGGCCTGCTCTTTGGTCCGCGCGTCTCACCTTGCGGAGAGCGAGTCTCCAGGTCGGCCATGCAACGACGCACAGGTCCACGCTGAGCAGGACTCTCTCTCCTCGCCTCTCCTGCGCCTCGTCTTCGCCGTCTCTCTCTCACTCTCTCCCTCCCTTTCCACCTTCTACTACTACCACCACCACCGGGCACCGTGTTACCACCACCGTCGTCATCATCATCGGCGCAGCGGCACGGCAGGGCACCTTCTCCTTTGCCGCCGTCGGGCTTCTTTGGTCCCTCTCGCCCCACCGTGCCGCCACTCTAAAACGCCGCAAAGCAGAAGACAGCTCTTAACTTCCCCGCCTCGCACACCTTCGCCCCCATCCAGCCTTCCCACCATCCTCCTTCTCGCACCTCCTCCGTCTCTTCGTCTTACCTCGTAGAACGTTCAGTTCCCCTACTTTGCTCTTCTATCCAGGTACGACACGCAGGTATACACCACACGTACACACGCACACTAGTCGCTAAAGCTCCTGACTCGCAGTAGTAGGTGTAGGATACATTCGTACGTTCGTGCGATACCGCGCATAAGATTCATCGGAGGCTCCACACACCTGAGGGGTTGCGTGCGATGCATCTGGACCAAAAGAAACAAGAAAAGCATGTGTTCTGCTCGCGGAAAGGATACGAGAAAGAGAGAGAGAGTCTGAAGATGCCGCGGAGATGGAAAGGTCGGGGGTGCAGATGCTGTTCCGGCGAAGGAAGTGTTTAATTTGATGATGATGAGCGGTTCCAAAAGTGTTCCAAGCAATATTAAATTAATCGAGTGGGCCTTTATAAAAAATAATGATAAGATGACAACATGTTCGCGCCTTAATCATTTTACATTTTTTATAAATAGAATACTATGGAATCTATAATAAGGTATCAAAGATCGTTGAACGAAATTATTTTTGTTAAAACTTATATTCTGCAAATTATTTTTTAAGCAATAATTTATTTGTATACGTATCGCTTCTAATTATTGCTTCTAAATATTTGTTTTTAATATAATACCAATATATGTAATATAAAAGCATCACATATAATAAATGTAATTTAGTTCTTATTAAATCTTTTATTAATCTCTATATAAAGTTTGCAAGATAAAATAAGCTACTCGTACTACCTGGATTGATTATTTACGGAGAAATAAAGAATTTCACTTTGTATCGTATTTTGAAAAATGAATGTACAGTTAATTCCCATTGCCTTTACATATCAAAACGTTTGATGTAATAATTAGAATAAAAATGATGATCTCTAAGTAGTATATCATAGTTGCAGTGTATATCTAATCGGATACACGGAGAGTACTAGTAAGAATCTGTAATCGAGTTACGTAAAAGCCATGTTAGACAGGCGTGAAAATACATCGTGTTCGGTTTCCAAGAAGAATCCATTCCCGCGGAGTTGCTTCGAGGAAGGAACTCTCGTCGTTGCATCTCAAAAATTACGGCAACACGAAGAGTACAACGACCGTTTGCCCTTTTCACGACGTACACGCTTGTTTTATCGTAAATATGTTCTTGTCGAGAGATATTCCGCAAAAGAGCAAACGTGCATTTATTCAATTTCTTCATTCGCTTTTATAAATCAGCCGAAAAAAATGCCGACGATTATGTTCAATAAATTGCATATTAGATAGACGGTTCAAAGTTTGTTTGTAGGTTGCAAGGTAATGTAATTTAAAGCAAGATTGATAAGTCTCATAGATATTCACATTATCGATTGCTTGATAAAAAGCAATCAAATACATTACAATAAAATTTAGTATTATATTAACTTTATTTTACTATCTATATGTGTGATACCTTTTTGATTATAATCTACTTATCTTATTAATGTCTTATTAAGTTACATGTTACCATAAAAACGGTACATGCTATACTATTAAAAATATATATTATACAGTATAAAAATAACATGAAAATATGTACTTGTAATCAAAGTAATTTCGATAATAATCTCCAATGTAACACAACCATATTCTTTTATTGTACTTTTTGACATTATGTTTTTTATGGAAGATAAATGAGATACCCCTGATTTACAATCGTGTTAATTTGATTTGAAATAAACCTGACCTGCACAACCCCAGCTATGACAGGGGATACCCTATCTTTATAGATTTCACAAGGGATGCTGGTATTCAACAGGTGCCTGACCATTCCCTCTCGATAGCTTTGTAACTTGGGGCGGTCCTCCGAAGCAACTATCCCGATTCACCCTCGGCGCCGTATGTCTGCGGGACACCACTCCCGTCTATTGTTCACCTCAAGTGGTTTGAGTATCCACGTGATATTGTTTAGCACCGACAGATCACATAAAACTTATATTGTTACGGACGCACAGGCCAGACTAGTTTAATATGCGTAACGACCCAGGAACAATAATCAAAAATTTCGATACCTGAAAAGTTGAAGTTTTCCTTAAAAATGTATCTAAAGTTGAAGTATTGGTTAGGATCGTAGTTATTCCCTGTGGACTCCCTATCGGTGAAATATCAGCGGGATATAACTCTAACGGCAATTCTGTAAAAACTGTACTTTTGTTGTTGTTTCTTAGTGCTTGGTACTTCTCTATTATGAAAAATACACTAATATAAATCAAAATTAATTTTAAACTCAATTTATCAGATTATTTTTATCCGATTTTAGAAAAAAAACATATAACATTTTGGAAAGATTTTAGAAAGATTCATATAACATTTAGAAAATTTAATGCTTAAGGTGTGATTTCTCTCTCTCTCTCTCTCTCTCTCTCTCTCTCTCTTTCTCTCTATCAAGATTTATTACAAATCTATAGTATATATATATATATATAATGGATCAAAAGGCAATCATATGTTCTTTCAAGAATCAACAAGTAGTCACGAGTGCGCGTGGACCTAAATTTAGCTACTTGCTTTCCTCTTTCGCACATTCTCGCCATCATCCATTTTGCCTTGCTCCCCACTTGGTGATCATGCATCCTTTCGTTTATACCTAAGAACTTCTCGCTTCCACGCATGCTCTTCTTATGGAACTCTTTCGAGGAATTACTTTGCCCGTTGTTTAACGACGTTGCGGGATTTCTGTTAAAGCTTTACATGACTGATTAAACAAACGTGCTTCTCCGTGCGCCACAAAGACGTGCGTGACGTAATGTAGAAGAAGCGGTATAAAAAAAAAGAGAAATACTGTTATATAAATTAGAATTTGTAAAAAAAGAATATGAAAAAAACATACAAACTCCGTTTACAGTAATTTCATTATGACGTTTTTGTAATACTTATGAAAATAAAAGTAAAATTTTACTTGCAAATGTAAAGAGACGCTTTCAATTTTGTAAAAGTTGCAAAAGTTTATCGTCCTTAATTGTAACACTAAATGATGATGATGGATGGCAGCGTTAACTCGACGGAACATGGCAATTGTTCTCTTCAGGTGAATTCACTATTTTTGGTTATTGCTTAATATTAATTAGCTATGTTTTCACACAAAGTAATCTGGCTATTCTAACAACAATGGCTTAAAATTTCGATGTTAAAGAAGTTTCTTTCCTTTCAAAATGTACTGTACGAAGGTCAGAACCATTATGTTTTTTGATGATCCATACTGTGAAGATGTATTATGATATTATATATTGAAAGAATCTGTTCCTAACAATAATATTTGTTGCGAAAGAGAGAAATATTTTTGTCTCTGAGGAAAAGTATGTGTTTCAATTTACAGAAAATTCTACTTGTAATCCTGCTCTATGAAACTTCTCAAAGGAACGTTGGATTCTCCGCATTCCTATTACAACCGCGAGGAATTTCACGTTATCGTGTACGATAAAAACAACATACTCCTCTTTAGAACTTTGAGGAATGATAATCGATTGTGCGCGCGCGCGCGCGCGTGTGTGTGTGTGTGTGTGTGTGTGTGTGTGTGTAGCAGCTTTTCATCAAAATTTTGTGAAAGAAAAGAGACACGATTGTATAAAAAAATGTTCAGTTTTTAATAATATAATAATCCATTTTTTTATTCTGTAATTTCAATAAGATAAAATTCGCAAAATCTCATATTTCTAAGCGCGATGACACGGATCGAAGAGTGCATCGATTGGATGCTTTGTTTCAAGAGAACGGCAGATAGAGCTTATATCCGCATCCTTATGGACCCAGTCTGCGGTATCTCTCATGCTGATCCATTGTTGAACCACGAGAGCGTGGCACGAGAACACGAAGAGTGGCAAAAGTGCCCTCGAGGCATCTCGCACCGCGGCTCTCTCGTCGTTGATGCAGGTAACTCCCCCCATGGGACTTAGGCGCTGGGTACACCATGGGCATAGAGCGACTAAAATACTGCCCAGAAGAGAATACCGGTTCAGAGAGCAATGGCGCCGCTACTTCAGGGCTCAAAAAAAGTTCCCTGAATCAAGTTTAGAACCCAGACTCGCACGATATCGCTCTTTTAGACTATAGACAAAAAGTAAGGGATTTATGGGGCAACGTCTTATTGCATTAAGGATACTAACGCGATAACGAACGGCAATGCAGTTGCTGCAAAGGCACGGAATGCCGTTCTCTAATTCTCTACTCTGGTGTAACATTTACTTTTTTTTGTGGAATCAAAATATTACTATAAATATCACCAGAGAAATTTGATGTACAAGACTACAATTAGACTACAATTTTAGACTACAATAAAAAACATAAAGATATTTGTATTAAAGTTATTTTAAAATACAATAGAAAATATTACTTGAATTAATTATTATTATTAATTTGTCGGATTTGTCGTTCATTGGATCAAAATTCTTTGAGATATATTTGATTCTTGGAATTCGCCTCTGAAAATTCATTGATAATAATACTGCAGAAATTATTTATTTGAAATTAGGTTTTGCATTACTGAAAAATAAAAGGAAAAATGGTGAGTCGTTTCTCTCGCGTGAAGGCTCCTGAGATAATCTCTCGTATACATTCCTGAGTTACAGACCGATCAAATATTTCAAGCCGGACACAGGTTTGCGCAAAAGAATGCCCCATGAGGATAACGTGATACATCCACAAACTTCTATACATATACT